TGTATCCTGCGAGTCCTTTGAGCGTGTGTGCGACTGCGAGCTGAGATAAACGTCAGCACGTGCAAATAAAGCATTAAAACAGCCGGCCACATATTAAACCAAAGACAGTGGAGCAAAGATTCATGGGCGGAGGGGTGGAGGGGCGGGCGGCTTGACCGCAATGACTCAAATGACGAACGGCAAAGGGCATCCTGCTCCAGGATCTCTATCCCTGTTGTTGTGGGTCCTGACTTACGCAAACAGTAAGTCAGCCGCCACCCACTCAAACACACACATACGGCGGCAAGGACGCACGTCTCAAGTTTATCAAAGAAAAACGAATGGGGAGGAAAAAAAATGAAAAAAAAAAAACAAGAAAAAAAAATAAGAAAAGTGAGCACAAAAAGCTACAAAGAGCACGGGAAATCCAAGGAAAAGCAGTGGTAACAGGTCAGGACACACTTAATTCATTCGTCGCTTTCGGGGACTTAAAATGTGGTTACAGCTTTTGGCTTTAGCTTTGGCTTTGGCTACGGCTTGGATTTCTGGCTTTGGCTTTGGATTTTGGCTAAAAACTGACGAAACTATGTGTGCGGTCTGCTTTGGTCCAAAGATTTGCCTGCGCTCAATTAAAAATTCCCCTTGAGCTGCTCAAAATTCAATTGGAATTTTCCCCCGGCCTCGTCCTTTACCCTTCAAATATTCCCTGGTACTCTCGACAAAGTCGAGCAAAAGCCAGCAAAACCGCTGATAAAATACATATATATTCCGGGGCGGTGGCAGACACACAGCCAGAGACTTTTGGCTAAGCCTGTGAAAACAAGAAGTTTTTTGGCTAGCTGCCGCCGTTCGGCATTTTGTCACTTTGACAAAATTGTTTGGTAGTTTTCTCGCCGGTTTCGGCTCCAGATCCTGGCTCTCAAGTCCAACTTGTCGTTCAAGTGACATTCAATTATTATTTCAGCCAGGCACTGCACAAAACTTTCCATCGAAACTGAACTAAACGAATCGAAACGAGACGCTGCGACAAACGACAATATAGTTGGAATGTATTTCACTCAGACAAGTGTCCGACGGATATACAGATAAATATCTATAGTGGATGAGGGGGCGCAGGGACTAGGGCCCATAATACGTATTTGCGCATTAAATTCAAAACTTTTCAAATAGTTTTGTGCCAAATAAAATCAAAAAGGAAATCTACAAGAAAATAAAAACAAAACATTGCCCATAAGTATACAAGTCTTGTGCGTATATAATAAAATGAAAATGAAAACTTTGAAATTACATTTTCAATGAGAAACGCTGAGACACCGAGATTCAGTATCTATTATAGGGCTTAGACAGGCATTCTAACTGATTAAAACAAAATTGAGGGAGCACTTAGGAAAGTTTTGCTCAAAAAGGAAATTTTGTACCTGCCTGGGATTTTCTTATAGTTTTTCCGCACTTAGCAGCAGAATTGTCGATAAGAAATAAATTAATGAATGTCAGTTAAAAATTAAGTAAGATTTGATATTGTGTAGCTTGTTTGAAGAGCTAGAATGTGAAATAAATTAATTAAATCTCCAATTAATAAATAAATTAATACAATGAGTCTTTAAATACCTGGTTAATCGACAAAATAATTAAAAACAAAAAAATAAAATGAACTGTTGATTAAAACAGATACGTTTATCATTTGTAAGCCGAGTTAAGTCCACGTAAAACATGACCTCAAAACAATAATAAATATGTCACATTTGGATAAACTTTAATTCGTGTATTCGCGTTGCACAAAAATCACAGAAATGTTGAAAAGTTTGTGCTCGATTTTACATAACATTTTCCCCCGGCGGAGCCAAGGTAAATTCCGAATTGCAAATGCAAATGCGAGTGGGAGTTTCTTATTTTTTTGCCGGATAACTCGTAATTTGGACTCGAGGCTGCCGCCCAAAAAGCGTGCAGCTTAAAATTAATGACAGCGACGTAAATGTCAACGCAGGATGAAAAACAAGCACTACTTTTAGCCAGCCGCAACGTGTGGCAAAAACAATAATAAAGCCGAGTTTTTTGTGGGGGGTGGGGGGCTACTGAGGGGCGATGTATGGCTTCCGGTTTTTGTTCGCGCGCTGGTATTCTCTGCCACGCCCAGTGCCTGGGGCCGCCCCTTTTGCCAACGGCATTGCGTGCTCGAGTGTCACATATGCACATTTTATTTATAAACTTGCAGCAAAGTGGAAAATAAAAAGCGACCGACTCCGCGTAATGCAATGCCACCTCAACGGGGGAACTCCGCTTTTCGTTTCGTCCTTTTTTGTACAACTTTTTACTCGTTGCATGCCCATGCCCGGCGATAAAGTCCGTGAAATGCTTATCATGCCCAAACCGGATGTGCACAGTGTCAAGCAGCAGCGACTAAGCGTTTTTATATCCCACGATAGTTTAATGCATAATTGAAAAGCACGCAAAGTGAAACAATAGACCAAGCCGAACGAAGGCCATTTAAACCATTTCCGTCTGTTGGGCGGAGAAACGCACACAAGTGCATCGCCCTTAAAATATTTGCCAGAATTTAGGGTCCTCTAAATTCCTGGAAACAGAAAAAAACATTTCGCTTGGCAATCAGAGAATTTATGCTTGTACAAAACGCTTTTGATAAGGTAAATAAAGAGGTAGCTAAGTTTTTAATAGCTCTCACATTTTGGGGTTTCATTTTGTGTAATATGCAACACCACAGTTGCATCTCTTTTTGGTCCATCAAAAAGGACTTGTGATGATCCTCACCGACTATTACAAACTTTTCGGTTTGCGTTTGTCTAACATTTCCGACAAACATAGTTGGTTGGAAAAATGTACATTTACTACCATAAATTGTGTGAATTATTCAGAAGTGTCATGGGTATACTTATTTGTCTTACACTAAAAATATGCAAACTTATATCTTTATCAAAGTTTGCATATTTTTAGTGTAGAAAAGAAAATTAGAGTTGTACGTGTATTAGAGACCATTTTCGTTGAGGAATTAAATAGATGATTAAATTAATTATATTTTAATCTCTAGGCATCGAGAAATAATCACATTATCACTTGTCCACAACAACTTTCTCTATGGCCTCTTCGGCAGCTTAGGTCAATTTGAAACATCTTGTTATTAATTGAATTTTCCGCCTTGCTGGCAGCTTTCTAATGCCTTCTCATTGGCCATGCTAAACACAAATTAATGGCAATCAACATTTCTGCCCATTTGCACTTGTTTGCACTTGATAATGGAAGTTATTTAATATTTACGGGCTCAATTGGGCACGAAACAATCGTGCTAATGAACTGTGTAAAATTCATTTAGGCGCTGGAAAGAATTCGCATCGCATCAAGTGCCAAGAAGCGGAGGGCAATTGTGGCCGTAATTGAATGGCGCTTAGCGAAACCAAATCGCAGCTTTATGTCGCTATTTAGGGGCACTTGCAAAAAGTGCGGAGAACAAGTGGCTGTCAGCCGTCATCCGGCATAAAATGCACAAACAAAGCGCGTTTAAGAAAATGTAAAAATACTGCCAAAGTATGCAAAGCGGCTCGTAAAAACACTCGAAACTACGTGCATGCAGCTCGTCGAGTTTCCTTCGTCCTGCGTCCCTCGTCCTTGAGCGAGAATTTTGTGTGAAGCTTGGTAGTTGCTTAGCTGCATCCTTCCATGACCGGCTTCCTTCCTGCGAATCCATCAGCGCTAATTTTGCATATTTCAGTTAGCATTTTTTGTTCGGCTTCAAATACTAGCTTTCCTTTCGTTTCAGTGCACTTTACTCGCCTTTTGTTTGGCTAAGCCGGCTGGTGACTTGTGTTTTCCCAGCCTCAAAGCCTGAGGTTACTTAAGTTATTCAGCGTTTGAGGGGATAGGTCGGCGAGCTCTCGGTATCTCGGTCCTGATGATGAATTATGTGCCCCACGTACGTTATTAATAATTCCTGTGCTGTCAACAAATACATACGTTGTCTTGTGCCGCACTGTCTGCTTCCCACGCTGGGGCCACATTGCGTATGCGTGAGATGTTTGTATGGGACCCCAAACTAGGAATCATCCAAATTTATTGGCCATCTTGTTGTGCAGCAAACGAATTCGAATCGAGAGTCCCTCGACGATCTACGCAATCTGTTTACAACTCCATATGGGAGATACCGTACCATACCATCACGCATACGACGTGTATTGCGGCACAACCCATTCGCTCATCACGCATACGCCGTGTATTACATCATGGCCACTGTTTGTTTGCACATTGTATGTACACATTTTATAAGGCACAGTCTACATTGGCTGGAGTGGCAAGGTTAATGGGTGGAAAAATTCAACTCAATCAATTACCAGGACAACACACTCGGCCAGTTGAACATGTGTAATTGATACGAGTCCTTAAAGGTGTTTTGTGTTATTTATGCTGGTACTCCTTTGCCCAGCATCGCGTGCAAACACTTTAGGCTTGAGTACCCAACGTGTTAACAGGTCCACTTAATTTCGGCAATTAAACGGTTGCATTGTGCTTTGACTACTTCTCGGGAATTTCGGGGGAATTAAGAGCCGGCAGTCGAGAGATAAATCATTCGGCAAATCAATTTATTAACAGGCATCACAATGCTTGGGAGAAATTAGCTAATTATTCGGTGGTCGGCAAACTGGTGATTAAATATTTCATACGCTCCGACTGACACCGAGTTTGTCCAGGCAGAAATCACAAATGTCTGCCAGATTTCCCCCGGCTCCCTTGGCCCAAAACTAAACACTGCAGCATTAATTAAATATTTATGCAACATACACAAGCAAAACAGACAAACAAACACACACACACACACGGGCGATGCCAAACAGAGCGCAACAAATAAAGACGGTCAATTCTGTTACGGCACGCTGACTCGAGGAGTAACAAGGATATATGTACAAACACAACATTCGTACTTGAACTCACATCACATTCGTATATGCTAGTAGTACTTGCTTTTATTTACCGCTTTAACATGTAAGCTCAAGACAATGCAATAAAGTTGAAATTAGTTCGGGCCATAATTTCAGGTGAACATCCGGAGGCAATGCAAACTGGTTCATCCGGTTGTCAGTACAACTGGCTGACAATCGTCCTGCTCCTGGGCCTTGTCCTTTGCTACAGTCAACGCTGCTGCTGCTCGGCGTCATTAACATCGCCATTATCATTACCATCACCATCAGCATCAGCATCATCATTGCCAGCGGCCGCAACGGGAGAAAGTGCATCCAGTGAAAGTGCGGCAGCCGCAACAGCAACAGCAACAACAACCACAACAACAACAACAGCAACAGCAACTATGGCAACAAGGAAGCGGTGTCCTGCGGTCAAAAGCTGTCGCCAGGCCGCCAGTCATGTGCTGGCCAAAAGGTCCTGTCACAGATGATCAACTGAAGGCCACAACAGCCCCAACTAAATAGAGTAATTTAAAGAGCCGCATGAAATGTGTGCGAGTGAGTGTTGGGTTAAGTATCTCCGAGTGTGTGAATGAGCGTTTGCTAATCAGTCGTTTAGTATGTCAGTTATAAACTTGTACTCACAAATAAAAACACAATGCAAAGCAATGGCGCGGTAGTGGGTTTTAATTTATCAAACTAGCAAAAACTTTTTGAAGATTCCCTGCACAAAATAACATAAAAAATTTACTTTTCAAACTATTACAATCTGAAGTCAACTTCTAATTTTAATTATTTAAATTTTGTAATTATTAAATTTCCCTTTTTTGATTATTCCTAAAAAATCAATGAACTTTAGTTAAAATAATACTATATTTTATTATAAATTTAATTTTTCTTTTGTTTAGATCTTTAACGCTTTTGATGAAATTTTAAAATTCTTTAAATAATTGTTGTGGAAAAAAACAACAACATTATTTGTAAGTCAACATTTTTTAGTGACATGGATTATTTGTTTTGGTTACTTACACAATGGTGAAGTGTTTCTTGTGGGTTACAATAATTTTTCCATATTTCAGGTGTTTAATTTGTATATATTTCGTTCATTTATTTACCTGTCTCTAACAAAACCACAAAATCTTAATTTAATACACCTAATTAAAATATTCATAATCAACCTTTTTCTACCGCCCAAGCCTTTGTTAAGCAATGTATTTATATAAATAATACTATATGTAAGCTAATTGATTACAATTTAATGTGTATATTTAAACAAAATCAAAATTTACTATAGAATGTGTGTAAATAACAAACTTAAACATAATTACGGCATAACCGAAGCGAGGCATTCAAAAAAAAGTGTACCGCTAACAGTATAGGAATGAGTAATCTATATGCCCAGCGGCGTTGACTCTTTTAATAAATTAATAAATAATCAAATAATGTTCAGTGTACAGTGCAATGGCGGGGCTCAATATTCAATAATTAGATAAAAACGTAGACAAACCAAATAGCAACAAAATGAGAGCAGCAGTGAGTCATAAAACATTTAAATTGATTGCCATATCATGCAAATATTTGCACTGCGCAATTTTCCATCCAAGCCAAATATAAATTCAATTTACTGTTTTATTCACCCGCACAGAATACAATTAATTTAATTTTTTGTTGCATTGATATTAATGTCACAATTTTATAATTGACGGTAAACCAGGCCGCCACAATTAAAAAGGTTTAAAAAACTGATCGAAATATTTAACTAATAATTTCTTTACAACTGCTAAAATATAAGCATCACACTGTTCATTTGGGCTTTATTTAAATGTCATTCTCAGGTGACATAATAACTTAAGCTAAATAATGGTCTCCCATTAGCTTAGCAGCCTTAATTAAAAATCGAGTGTCCGAGTAAAATGACCACCAACTACAAATTACATATTTTTAAATTTTTTGCAATTCAAATTCCAGTAATTGGCAAAAGTGTACAGTAAACATAAAAATAACAATAACCCATAAAAAAGATTTTCTGTTTCACCCAATAAATTTATTTAATTAAGCATTTAAATGTGAAGAATTAAAACATCAAAACTGATTTCAGACCCGATGAAAGAAATTAAGTATGTCAACTCTGTTGACATACCGCAAATAATATAATTCATAATTGGAATTATAATTATAAAACAACTAGTTCATTGGCCTTAGTTTAAAACCATTTATAAAGGCCCGCAAATTAACCAACATTTGCTATTCAAATCAAGCAATAACCAATTTAAACTTATTGAGGACGCTTGGCTAATTAAAATGTGATGTCATTTCCCCATCTTGTGTTTGGACACAATTATAATGAAACATTATTCCGAATTATACATTGCCATTTTGTTTGTTGCGGCCAGAGCAAGGTAGAATTAATTTTATTAATTTCCGTTAAGCTGTAAAAATAATGTTAGTCATAAGCTGATTTTATGAGAGTGTTATCTGGCAATTTGTGTCATAATGACAATGTTGTTTCCACAATGAAGCTGATTCTTTTTAATTACTTTTAATTTGTATTAAACTATTTGCGAAGACTTAAAGTTAAAAATTATGCTTTTAAATAAAATACCTAATTTATAAATATAGTTATCTTATTCAATTATTTATACTTCCAATTGCAATTGTTGCCATAATAATAGTTTGAATGTAAAATTCCAGGTTAAAATTACCATTTTCCCATCCTTGTGTTTCTGACTTCAGTTAATCTCCGAATTGTTAATGCAACCAATCAAAAATATAAGCAGACGCCTATAAATAAATAAATGTATTGAGTTTAAGTGTGAATACAAACATATGCCAGCCAAATTGTAATTCTAACTGAAGCATTTGCCATAAACCCTTAAAGCGCAGTACATAAATCTACATATGTAATCGTAGGCCATCAGCTAAGTAATTCCTGTATATTAAAGTTAATTAGTGAAACTCTAGAGTTATGCATTAGACAAGTAAATTTACATTTACATTCTATGTGTGAGTAACGACACATAGTTAAATAGTTGTAACAAAGCAATCGAACTGTGTAAAACGAACTACTTTTAACTGTTGAAATTTAACTAAATGGCAAACTAGTGAAAGCATAACATAAATATGACATCATAAAGAAACATAGCAAAACATTACAATAATAAACAAATAGCAACGCAAACAAAGGGCAAACAACAGGGCTGAAAAAGTGTAAACAGGATGCTTGTTTGTCTTTTGCGCAATGATTGTCGCCATATTATTGTAAAACAACAAACAACAGCAAAAAGCGATACGATTAAAATTTTTTATTTAAAAATTAACCCATCCCTGGCGTTTTCATTCGGGGGGCTTAGCTGTGTTAACTGTACCCTGCCCGTTCAATTATTTATGCAAACTACAAGGGAACCCAAACAGCTGGTTGCATCCTCCAGCGGCTCCAGCTCGAAGAAATGAAAAATAAGCTGCAACGTATGCGTGTGTCACATGTAATCGCTGGATTATAGACAGTTCGGCCAGGAGTTCGGAATGGCAGGATGGCAGGCGTTGAAAACTGGGTCAGCAAATAAATCGAAAAGGCTTAAAACAAGGAAAAGGAGAGGCCATAGAAGGGCCATGGACAGCCGAAGCTTATGCACACCGAACAGATTGCTCCCGGGCAAGGAGTGGGAAGGACCATCCCATCGAAAAGGACATGGGTGTCGTAAGTATGTCGGGTTATGTATGTGAGCAACTCGAAACAATTTACATTTGTTGTCCTGCCGATGTGTTGCAAAAACACAGGACATTCTTCCTTTTCTAATTACTTTCAGTTCAATTCCCGTGAGAGAAAATAAATGGAGCTCACGCCCGAGCTGTTCTGAAAGTATTTAAAAAGCATGTGGTTGCTTAATCAGCAAAGCCATGGCATATTAAATGTTCATTAAGGAATGTGCAATTTACTGATTATGTTTATTCATAGGGATTTAAATTTTCCCTTTTTATATTAATAATATAATAATAATAATAATACAAAATGAAAAAAGAAAACTATAAACTCGAGTTCTAAGTTTCGAAATATGAAATGAGAAAGCAAATTAAAGTTGTTAAAATAAAATACAATTTATGATAAGCGTAGGAAGTTTAAAATTAATTACTGAATGTGAAAGGTTTGATATATTTATAATTTATAATTCAAATTGTAAAACTAGTTTTATTTTCTGAAGCTTGAGGAAACAACCAATTCATAGAAATTAAAATACGGCTCACAAATTTTGTAATTAAAACTCCAAAGTTCTGACAGGCTGTCCAGCGAAACCGCAATTGAAAGCGAAATGTAAGTACATTTTGGACCAGCTCATTAATTAAGTATTTCTCGATGGGGCAGCTGTGAAACGTAGAAATGCAGCTGTAATTCCATTAAATTGCGCCGCAAATCCCAGCTTATCCGCATGCCTGTCTGCGTTCGAACTCAAAATAATAACAATAATGCGACCGCAGGCAGCCCAAATACCCGTAGTCCGTAGTCGGTACTCCGCCGGAATGCAATGAGACCCCAAAGTTGGGGCCTGATTTTAGAGCCATTTTGCGACTGTCGACTGCGTTGGCATAAAAATATTTATACGCTCACTTGAGTCCAAATCGATGCGCGCTGCTTATGCAAATTTCTGGTAGCCTAAGCAACCGCAGTGCCAAGCTGTTGTTGGCCGGATTTTGTAGAATCCATAGAATGGGCAGTGGAGTAGGCCCGAAATCCCGGACCTACAACCCGGGACATGGACATGTAATTTTGCCTGATAGATTCTGCCTAATGGCTGGCATTAGACACATTTGTTGCCAGTGTGCTACAGCCACAGAAACAGCAGAGCAGCCATGGTTTTGGTCTGATATTGATTCGTGCCCAGCATGGGAGCTGGCCTGCGAATTCGGTTTTAAACAGGCTTCACGGCGCCACAGACATCAGATTTTCGCATTCACATTTTCAGTTGACAAAACATTTTGCACACACACGTTTGACCGCATTCCTTGCCGGCATTTGCACGCTAATTTGACTGAAAATTTAGATGCCATCAACATACTATACGTGTAATCCGCATGAATTCCTCAAATGACATTTGCACCCTGAATGGAAGAGGGTATGCATGATTCTGTAATATTGTTCTGCGAATATCAGCCTAAAAATATAATTGTATTTCATGAAAATTCAATGCTATTAGGAGAGAAATTTACGAATTCGTTCAAACTGTTAAAGAATTATTTTTATTTATAAGCTAAATCTTATTATTTATTTCCGGTATTATTTTATGATCTTTGCTTAAGTACTTTCTAAGAAAATATTGTTTACCAAGCTAATCTTTATTAAAGAAGTCTAGTTGTCAGCTAAGCTTGGTGGTAAAATTCAAATTATATAAGATTTATATATCAAAACTGAACTTTTTTGTTTAAGCAAATGCAGGTAAATTAAAATTCAATTCTTATCGCATTGCGACTTTATTTAAGAACTAATACTATATATTTCAAGCAAACGATTATGATTATAATACACAATTTTCCCTTAATGTAATTTAAAAGTGCATTGCGATTTGAATTTCTTATTGATTGACCAAACATAGACCGCATGCGACATAGAGTTAGCTAGGCAAATAATGTTTTCTTTAAAAAATATTATTTAGGCGAAACTTTTTTAACACTTAGGATAGATGTAAAAAACAAATTAAACAATAGGTAGTTGTTCTGAAAGTAAAAATTATCAGCTTTAGTCAGTGATATTAAATTTAAAAACTTGTCAAACCCTATATACGCTCTCCGATTACAGAGGATTCCATAGCACAAAACATTATTTTTCGGGGCGCAAAATGTGACAACGATTGTTTGCGCCACGAGGGCGTGGTCACGGCCAATGTGGTCAGGCATAAACTGGCCGCTACAGCAACCGCATGAAATGCCAGTTGAATTATAGACCATTTGAATGAAATTATTTTAATTGCGTAAATCACTTTGCAGCCAAACCGAAAATTCAACAATGCTGCGGTGCAACAGGGGGCGGGAGCGGGTGCGGGGGCGTGGCATTTGTGCAGAGCGGTACTGAGGGCGTGGCAGGGAAACATGCAGCGGGGTTGGTTGAAAGTAAAGTGTGAGCATGCCACTGGCACACTTATTGGCCAATCTCATTTAATGCTCGCCACTTTTGCGGACTTTGTGGGCTAACAAAGTAGAAATTGTGGGGAGCGGGTGAAAATAGGAAAGCGTGGTGGCCGAAATGGCATCTAAAAAGGACTGAGCACCCTCCAAAAATTTAACAAAAATATTTCTGTTTGCATATTTGCACTCCATTCCACGGTAATTGTTTTTGGTAGGTCGACAATGGAAATAAATTTCGACAACAATTGCGCACAGCTTCATTCCCGGGGGAATGTGAGAGGGTGCCACTTGCAATTGCAACTATAATTTGTACAAATTATCGCCAATATTATGAAAGCATTTTGCAAACACCGCAGCGAATTGCCCTCTTCTAATGGAGCACACGGCGTATGCGTGCTTTCAATAAATGCATATTTTAAATGCAGCGCGACACTTGAAGCGGCGATAAATGCAATGTTTCCATTAATTATGATTCGGCATGGACATATGGGGCAAATATTTGCAAACACTCTTCGTGCATTACATTAATAAAACAACACAAAAGCGGGCGCAAAGGTGGCCCTTAATTTAAACTCCTGTAAGTGTTCGCTGCCGCAGCTAGCATTTTTGGTCAGTGAAGCATGATGTCCTGCGAAAATAACTGGACAGCCACCCACACGCATTAATGGTGTATCGGCCATTTACTGTGTAGCATATGAACAGCAGCGGTCAAAATAATAGTAATGGAACTACAGTGCACAAAATGCCTTTTTAAGTACAATGTATAAGTTTACGTTTATATATTTTTGAAATTTTAGCATGAGTTTACCTGGCAAAAAAAAAAAAAAATGCTTCTTAATTGCTTAATTTATGTTCCATTTTAATTAAAAGTTAAATAAAAACTAAATAAGTTACATTTTGATTTTATAGCCAACTAACAGCTCTATAAGTTCATTGCCAAAAACAGGAAATTGTGAAAATATTTCGGAGCTGGCTTAAAAATAAGCTTGCAATGCCCTTTTTATTTTGAAATTTTTCATATTCTAGCGTTTGCCTCGCATAAGATTTTGTTTGACTCTCGAGTGGTTATTGTTGTCAGCCGAGAATATAGCAAAGATATAGTAACGATACACCGTTCCCGTGCTCCCCAAATAAGTCTTTGTACGCTAAGCTCGTGGGCATGACTCCTAGAACTATGAACTATGAACTTATGGCATATTTGCTCGCCTTCAGTAGCAATCAACTGCACTTAAAGCTAAGTGGGCACACTCCACTCCGTCGACTGATTTCAATGCCCGCCCAAGAGCCACTCGTCGACGTCTTCAATTGAAGACGGAGCCGTTGACACGACATGAGCCTCCAATACCAGCACTTGCAGGATCAGTGATAGCATGGACATGGACTTCCTGCCTCCCATCCCGACATCCTGCATTTGCCGCCGGATGCACTGACACCAGGTTCGGAAACAGCCTACTGGCTTGGAGGGCAACTATATGTCAAACGTAAGTAGTTTAACTAAAATACATATTGAATGAAATAAATACGTGTCAATATTTTTCAGGAAATATGGATATTCGTAGTTTATTTACTTTCACAATAAAGAGTGATCAAGATGCACCGCATGCTAACAATATCTAAAGAGTACATATATAATTGTCAAGAGCCCTAAGTATTCGAGTTATGGTGGCAAATTATCTAGAAGTTTTTTTTTTTCTAGAAGAGAAAGCAATTACCAATTTGTATTTTCTATTTTAAATTATCTCACATCGTTTTTTCATTATTTAATTATTAGAATATTATTTTTACTTTCAGTCAAAAATTTTTTACATTGCTAAATTTTTTATTTGTTCTACATGTATAAAAGCAAATCAACAAATGGTTTCATTTAACAAACTGCGGGGACATCGCAATATTGAGAATACAAGTCTTTCAACACAATTTTTTAATTTTTATTTATTTTTCCAGAGCTCAGTAATTAATTGAATAAGCAACCTACACAAAATAAAAATTTTCCAGAAGAAACATTTTTTACACCCACATGTTGCCTTGCAACTTGCAACATGTTTGAACAACACGTTTTATTTAAATCGGTATAACAGCTGGTATACGGGATGTGAAACCGGATTTGCTGGTATTTTACAATGTAAAAAATGTTCTAGCGTCAAAATAAATAAAATTTCAAAAATT